AAAAGCCAGAAGTGGCGCTGTGGCTCAAGTGGTAGAACACTAGCCTTGAGCTGAAGAGCTGAGGGACAGCACCCAGGCCCAGAGTTCAGGCCCCACGACTGGACCCAAAAAAAAAAATAATAATTTTAGAACAAATTCTTATTTGATCTTATTTAATTAATCTAACAGTCCTGTGAAATTTTTTCTAAATAATCATTATCAATGCCATTTTATGGATTAGGAAACTAAACCTCAAAAGCCAAGACTACTTTCTAAAGTATGAGCGTTCAGGCCCAAATTTGCTAACTTCAGAGCTTAAGACGTCAGCACTGGACTATGCTATACTGCCTTTGCTTCTGTAAAATATGTGCAGCGTTGGAGCAGGAGGGCTGAAGAGAAAGTGAATGTGTGTCAGGACTAGACATCAGAATCAACACTCACACACAAAGTAGAGAGAGCCCTACAGAGTTTAGAACTTTTACCTCAATTCCTAACTTCTGCTCAGTAATATAAAGGCCCTAAAGTTCTTAACAATGTATTTTCGTGTTGGAATCTTTTTGCCAGGTACCAGAGTAGCGCCAGCCTGTTGAACTTTCTGTTGGCATCAGCATTCTTTATGTGTGTGGTTCAGTGCATTGGGCCACTTGTTGGATGTGGCCTTTGAGGGCTTCACAGGTAATAAAACTCAGGAACTATGCTTTAAAAAAAATGTAAAACTTGTCATCAAAATCATTTGTTTTTCTTCTTTCTTTGATGCCAGTCCTGGCCTTGAAGTTAGAGCCTGGACATTGTCCCTAAGCTTTCTTGCTCAAGGCTAGTACTCTACTAGTTAAACAAGTCAACTTCTAGCTTTTTGTTGTTGTTGTTGGCAATGAGGCTTGAACTCAGGGCCTGAGCTTTGTTTGCTAAAGGTCAGCAATATACCACTTTGAGCCACAGTGCCTCTTCTAGTTCTTGAGTGGTTAATTGGAGATAAGAATTTCACAGGGACTTCTGTGCCTAGATTGGCTTTGAACTGTGATCCTCAGATCTCAGCCTCCTGCTAGCATTACTGTTGTGAGCCACTGGCACCCAGCCTTTGAAGCAGCTTTTGCATATACGGTTTAAGTATATCCAAGTTGTTAGCCAGTCACCATCTCCTATCTATGGAACTTTGTCTACCCCCCGCCCCCCGCCTTAATTTGGAGGTTGAATTCAGGACCATGAACTTGCTAGGCAAACACTCTACTACCTGAGCCACCCTCCCAACCCCAGATCTTGTTTATATATCCTAAACTAAAATTGTGTACCTATTAAATAATGACTCATTTCTCTTTTCTCCTCAAACACAAAGATGCTATTTTCTTGTTTCTTTCTTTTTTTTGTCTATGAATTTGACTACTCAAGGAACCTCATAGAATGAGAATCCCAGTTTCTATGTCAATGCATTTTAATTAATATCACTGTGTGTGTGTGTGTGTTGAACTCAGGGCTATAAGCTTGCTAAGCCCAATCAAGCCCTTTTTGTTTTGGTTGACTTTTGGAATAGGGTCTTAAATTTTTACCCAGGCAAACCTTAGATTGCAGTATTTTAATTAACACCTCTTGAGTAACTAGAATTAAAGCTGTAAGCTACAATGCCCAGCTGTTGATTGAGATGGAGTCTTGCCAATTTTTTGTGCTGGCTGGCTTCCTGACATCTGCCTTCCTAATTGAAATGACAAGCTTTAACTACTGTGCTTGGACAATTAATTTAAATTTAAGAAGTTGTGCCAGGTGCTGATGGTTCACACCTACAATCCTAGCTACCCAGGAGGCTGAAGTCTGACGATTGCAGTTCAAAGCTAGCCAGCAGGGCAAGAATGTCTCTGAAACTCTCATCTCCAGCTAATCACCAAAAAGCCAGAAGTAGAACTATGACTTAAGTAGTAGAGCACTAGCCCTGAGCAAAAAACACTCAGGGATAGTGCCTAGGCTATGAGTTGAAGGCCTTAGAACTGGGGAAACAAAGCAAAGCCCCCACAAACAAACACAAAACAAAACTATATCTGGCTATTCGCTGCCTTACTGAACAGTGAGTGCAGGCCTAGAAGTTGGGGAAAGTCTGCCTATCACAAAATAGCATCTGGTCTGTCATATTGTGAATCTAAGCCACTTAGTCCATGTGTATTTTCCAGGACTCGTGGCTTGTGGAGACACTGTCCAGGAGAAGGTAAGTGAGAGACACATGGCTGAACTCTCAAATATCCCTTCAGTGCCCGCATAGGCTCCAAGGATGAGGTAGAAAAGGACACAGCTTAGAACTGGATTCCTTCCAGGAGTCTACTCAATGCAGGGGGAATTATCCATCCCTCTGCAGAGCATAAAATGGGGAGGCAGCATTTTCTGAGAGTGGGGTGATAGGGCTCTGAGGTCTAGTCATCTGTCACTGTGGGGTAGAAATGGGGTTCTCCAATGAACCACTGTAAGACAACCCATGCTCACTCTCACCCTGTGGTTCCTCCAGTGCTGGACTTCAGCGACCCCTTCAGCAGTGAGGTGAAGCCCAGAATTCTGCTCATGGGCCTGCGGCGGAGCGGCAAGTCATCCATCCAGAAGGTGGTCTTTCACAAGATGTCCCCCAACGAGACGCTGTTCCTGGAGAGCACGAACAAGATCTGCCGGGAGGACGTTTCCAACAGCTCCTTCGTCAATTTTCAGATCTGGGACTTCCCAGGACAGATTGACTTTTTTGACCCTACCTTCGACTACGAGATGATCTTCAGGGGCACAGGAGCGCTGATCTTTGTCATTGACTCTCAGGTACAGCTGTGGCTCCTGTGTGGAGGCCTCCATGCTTAAATAAGACTTTGGTCACTTCCCTTTTTGTTTTTGGTTTGTATAACTTCATACTGAGAAACTTGGCTCACATAGATAAGTAGGTGAGTACAGGGTGAGTTTTTATAGCGTTTGTCTGATTACTTAGTATCTTTCCAAGTTATATTTCCTACATTACTCAGTTTTTTGTCATGAAAAACTACTTTTAGCCAGGTGCTGGTGACTCATGCCTATAATCCTAGCTAATCAGAAGCCTGAAATCAGAAGATCAAGGTTCAAAACCAACCAGGGAAGAAAAGTCTTGAGAGTTTTATCTCTGACCAACCAGCAAGAATCTGGAAATGGAGATGGGTTCAAGTAGAGTGCTAACCTTAAGCAAAAAGCCAAGTGAGAGCACAAGGCTCTGAGTTTTAAGCCCCAGAACTGGCGCGCACGCACGCACACACACACACACACACACACGCGTGCACACACACACACACACACACACACGGAAAATATCCTTAGTTGTTCATTAGCAGACCTGATTATGGATTATGATAACAGGTCCTCCAGATGAGTGCTCAACACTTGAACTTCATGTGTTGGTATGCCCTGAACTTGCCAATAGGATGGATGCTGGTGAGCTTTCCAGGAGCCCCAGAGTGACGGGAAGAGGGGGCAGGGCAGTCTGTACCCTGTTAGTTACTATGGTTCTGAGCCCACATTGTTTTAAAGATGACTCTGTGTGTGTATGTGTGCATGTGTGTGCGTGCATGCGCATATTGGTACTGAGGCTTGAACTCAGGGCCTCTTGCTCTTGCCTGACTTTTTTGATCCATACAACCACTTCTGGCTTTTTGCTGGTTTATTGACAATAAAAGCCCCACTGTTCCACGTGGGCTGGCTTCAAACTACTACCTTGGATATCAGTCTCCTGAGTAGCTAGGATTACAGGCATGTACCGTTGGTGCCCAGCTGAAAGATGACTCTTGTCTAAGAGGATCAGGAACAAGGTGTCTATTTATATATCTATGCAGTCAGTAGTAATAAAATTGTCCCCTGAGCCATCCATTTCCAGGAGGCAGCTCCCCTGTGCTTGTGCAGCTAGCTATGGGAGCAGGGTTGGGTGGTTTAGGGGTTCTTCCTGTCCTTCGTGATGGAGGTGGGAGGGGAGGAACTGAAATGTACTGTGTGATCCAGATACCTGCATCATCTCATGTCTAGGGCCTTTTCCTTGCTGTCCCACTTGTAGTGACCTGCTTTCTGGTCCATCTGGGGCCTTGGCAGTGTCCCCTCTTGTCCTGTCTCATGTCTGCCAGGTAGTGGGCAGTGTGTGCGCGCTGCTGGAGGCTCGGGGACATCTTGTTCTCTGAGCCCCCAGAATCACCCTGTGCTATTTCTTTAGTTGTTTAAGAACCAAGAAGTAGACCTGCCTGGGAGTAGATCTCAAACATTGCTTATTTACTCGTTCACAATGGCTCAGGAAATAATATAAGTATTAAGTATTTAACGTGCTTACCTAGCAAGTTGAACTTATGGAATTCAATTGCTAAAGCAAATCTCGTCTTCAGTGTTGATAATATGACTGCCATTTAGCCAAATGAAGTATGCCAGCTTTTTGATTGGTTTTAATTTTACTTAAATTTGAAAAGTGTACCTTCCATTTGGGATGCTACATGTGTTTTATTTCTCTTTTGTTTTTTTCTTTTTTTGGTGGTAAGTCAGAAAATGGTAAAGAATTTCTGAGAAATCTTTGTGTGTTTGTGTGTACTGGGGCTGGATTTCAGGGTCAGGACATTGTCCCTGAGCTTTTGTGCTCAAGACTAGGGCTCTCTCATTTGAGCCACATCTTCATGTCCAGCTTTTTGGTGGTTCATTGGAGGTAGCAATCTCATGACTTACTAGCTCAGGCTGGCTTCAACCACAGTACTGAGATCTCAGCCTCCGGAGTAGCTGGAATCACAGGCATGAGCCACTGGTGCCAGTGGAGAGCCATCGTTTTTAGTTGTATTCGAAAGCCAACAAGGGATCTGGGAAGGTGGCTCAGTGGTGGAGTGCTTGCCTAACATGTATAAAGCCCTGGGTTTGATTCCTTAGCACCACATAAACAGAAAAAGCCAGAAGTGGCTCTGTGGCTCAAGTGGTAGAGTATTAGCCTTGAGCAAAAGAAGCTCAGGAACAGTGCCTATGCCCTGAGTTCAAGCCCCAGGACTGGCAAAAAATAAAATAAAACTAACAAAGGGGGCCTTGTGTGTGTGTGTGTGTGTGTGTGTGTGTGTGTGTGTGTGTGTGTGTGTGTGTGTGTGCGAGTGTGTTGGAGTGAATGTGCACTGAGCTTAGGGGTAGAGCACAAGACCCTGGGTTCCATCCCCAACACTACAAAACAAAATAAAGCAGTAAGGAAATTGTTGTTGAATGCTACCATTTACTAAGAATAAAGGATAACCAAAGGAAAGTTCTAGAGCCTACTACTTACTACCTGATACTTTATTTTAGGCAGTATTGAAATTTGAACTAAGGGCACTTGCATTCATTCAGATGGCATTCTACCAATGGAGCCATAACCGCTCCAGTTTAGCTTTTTTTTTTTTAACTGATTAGTTGAAGGTAAGAATGTTCTGGACTTTCATGCCTTGGACGGATTTGTGATCCTTTGGTCTCAGCCTCCTGAGTCCCTAGGATTCCAGGCCTGGGCTATAGCACCTTCTAGCATACCTACTGCTTTTCTGCTGGAGGCTGACTGACTGTAAATCACAATGGGTGTGGGAATCTCCCATGATGCCTGCAGCACTGAAAGCAAAGCAGACCCCAGGGAAGCCCTCAGGCAGCCAGTCTGTCCTTGTGTGCAAGCAGTGCTCTTTTGTGCCAACACCTCATTTTTATTTCTTGCCCATGATTTCCTCATCATCACAGGATTGCTAGATGAACAGATCCCCAGGTAGAAAATGTGTCCTCACAAAATATTGTGAACTCAAAATGAAAAGCCAGAGGGATTTCCTGGGAGCTAAACATGTGACATCGGCATGACCCCGCAGAGACCACAAACCCCGACAGCTCTGACAGTTCTCTCTCGAGCCATGAGAGTGCCAACTGTGACCTGCCTTGGAGTCCCTACCCACTTTCAGAGAAATTAGGCTGGATAAACATAATGGGGAAGTTATCTGTAATCCTTCTGTCTCAATAAACCCAATATTTTTCTTTTTTCTTTTTCTGGCCAGTCCTAGGGCTTGAACTCAGGGCCTGGGCACGTCCCTGAGCTTCTTTTGCTCAAGACTAGCACTCTACCACTTGAGCCACAGCTCCACTTCTGGCCTTTTCTGTTTATGTGGTACTGAGGAATCAAACCCAGGGCCTCATGCATGCTAGGTAAGCACTCTACCACTAAGCTACATTCCCAGCCTTTCTTTTCTTTTTTTTAAAACCAGTACTGAGGTTTGAATTCAGAGCCTAGAATTCCCTGTTGGCTTTGTTTGTTTGTTTGTTTGTTTTGGGTCCTGAATTCAGAGCCTGGAATTCCCTGTTGGCTTTGTTTTTTTTGGGTCCGGTCAAGGGGCCTGAACTCTGGCCTGGGTGCTGTCCCTCAGCTCCTCAGCTCAAGGCTAGTGCTCAACCACTTGAGCCACAGCACCACTTCCAGCTTTTTTCTTTTTTTGCTTATGTGGTGCTGAGGAATCGAACCCAGGGCCTCTGGTATGCAAGGCAAGCGCTCTACCACTGAGCCACCTTCCCAGCCCCCTGTTGGCTTTCTTGCTTGATTGGAGCTCTACCATTTAAGCCATGCCAGCAGTCAGCTTTGTATTTTGGAGAGTCTTGAGAACTTTACCTCCCAGTATAACCTAGAAATACAATCCTCCAGACCTCAGCCTCATGAGTAGCTAGGATTATAGGTCTGAGTTACCACTCTGGGCCTAACTGCAGGTTTTAATGTTTAACCCGTTGATACCATTGTTCAGTATTTCCCTTTCATTTAAAAGTTCAGCAAGTAAAAGAAGAAAAGATGACATTTGTTATTTCTCTCCTCGTAGTTTACTAATAGTATATTTAATTATTTTATTCATTTTATTTTGGTACTGGTACTGGAGCTTGAACTCAGGTCCTCACATTTTCCGTTGGCTTTTTCACACAGACTGGTGCTGTTCCACTTGAGCCACTTCTTACATGTGGCTTTTGTGGTTAAGCTGGAGATTAGAGTCTCACAGACTTTCCAGGCTGTCCAGGCTGGATTTGAAAAAGGATCTTCAGATCTCAACCTCTTGAGTAGCTAGGATCACAGGTGTGAGACAGCAGTACCTGGCTTAACACTAGATTTCGTTTGGAGAATATTAAGAATACCCCTGGGGGTATTCTTTCCCCCTGAGTCAGGGGGAAAGAAAAGAGAAGGAAAGAAGTCTCCTTTTATCTTGCCCTCTGTATTTTTTTGGCTTGGAGTTGTCATGGAGCTGGAGTGGGTTGAGATGATGGTAAAGGTCCTTTATTCCTTATAGTCCTTCCTACAGATACCTTCCTTTTCCTTTATTTTTTTGGGCCAGTCCTGTGGCTTGAACTCAGGGCCTGGGTGCTGTCCCTGAGATTCTTTTTTTGCTCAAGGATATCACTCTGCAACTTGGGCCATAGCACCACTTCCAGCTTTTTCTGAGTGGTTAATTGGAGATAAGAGTCTCACATACTTTCCTGCCCCAGCTGGCTTCAAATCACAATTCTCAGATCTCAGCCTCCTGAGTAGCCAGGATTACAGCCATGAGCCACTAGCATCTAGCTTCCTTCCTTTTTTTTTTTTTTTAAAAAAAACAACTATAAAATCAAAACCTGTCCATACCTTCCAGATGGCAATAAATTCAGAGATGTGATGCCAGGAATGGGGCAGGGTCAGGAGCAGTGGGTGTGTCACACATTGTCCAATCCCATCCTGGGAACTCATGGACATGACATGAGCCTTCAGGGTAAGCTGTGTATACACGAGACTACCACGTTGTCATGGTAGTAACGCCTCTTTAGAAATGTTAGGTAGTAGGGGCTGGGAAGGTGGCTCAGTGGTAGAGCGCTTGCCTTGCATGCTCAAGGCCCTGGGTTCGATTCCTCAGCACCACATAAGCAAAAAGAAAAAAGCCGGAAGTGTCGCTGTGGCTCAAGTGGTAGAGTGCTAGCCTTGAGCTGAAGAGCTGAGGGACAGTGCCCAGGCCCAGAGTTCAGGCCCACGACCAGATCAAAAAAAAAAAAAAAGAAATGTTAGGTAGTCACTATGCAAGCACGTGATAAACTATAGGCCATCCCTAAAATAAAATTCATAGTTATTTAAAAGGAATTATGTAGCCAGGCACTAGTGGCTCATGTCTGGAACCCTAGCTACTCCGGAGGCTGAGATCTTAGGATTGTGGTTTGAAACCAGCCCAGGCAAGAAAGTTTGAGGCTCTTCTCTCTAATTAACCACCCAAAAGCCAGAAGTGGGACGGTGGCTCAAGTGGTAGAGCACTTGTCTTGAGCACAAAGAGGCTATGAGTTCAAGCCCCAGGATGACAGAAAACCAAAAACAAACAAAAAGAAACTAAATGCTTGAGATATGGTCTCCTACATAAATGCATCTCCTTGGCATAATTTTGAGTGAAGAAAGTATCCATAGAATGTGATAGTCTTGTAAATTTGTAAACAGCATGAGAAAGTCTATGGGCTTTGTGCATGTTCAGTGTGAAGGAGGATGAGCAGTGAACTCAGTGTGGTCTCCACTGTGGGGGGCGGAGTGGGGGAGGGGAGGACCGGGATGACTAGGAGGATGAAGAGACACAGGCTCTGCCATTGACAGTCCACTTATTTCTTTTCTTTTTCTTTTTTTTTTTTTCTTCTGTTGGTCGTGGGGCCTAAACTCTGGGCCTGGGCTCTGTCCCTGAGCTCTTCAGCTCAAGGCTAGCGCTCTACCACTTGAACCGCAGTGCCACTTCTGGCCTTTTCTGCTTATATGGTGTGAGAAATCGAACCCAGAGCCTCATGTATGCAAGGCAAGCATTCTATCACGGAGCCACCTTCCCAGCCCCCCCCCACATTTATTTATTTTCTACTCTGCTGATACATGAGGTTTTGAATTCAGTGCCTTGCACTTGCTATTCTGGTATGGTAGCACTGAGCCATTCTCTAACTCTCTTTATCACTAGTTATTTTTAGGATAGGGTCTCAATTCCCACCCAGATACTCAGGATCTGTCTACTTTAGAATTCCTGCCATTGCTGGGATTGCGGACGTGATCCGGGAAGCTACACTCAGCTTCCTTCTGTGGAGATGGAGTCTTGTGGGCTGTCTCTGCCTGGGCTGCCTGGCACCTCGATCCTCTAGTCTCAGCCTCCCATGTGCTTGGGATGACAGGGGTTCAAAAGTGTGCTTGGCTATGGATAGAGGAGGGTTTCCAGAGCTTTTCCTACTCAGGCTGGCTTCTAAATACATTCCTTCTATTCTCAACCTCCCAAGTAGCTAGAAATACAGGTCCAAGCCACATGTGCCTGGCTAATAAAATTTTATTTCTTTTTTTTTTTTTTTTTTGCCAATCCTGGGGCCTGTGGGTACTGTTCCTGAGCTTCTTTTGCTCAAGGCTAGTACTCTGCCACTTGAACCACAGTTCCACTTTCAGTTTTTTCTGTGTATGTGGTACTGAGGAATCTAACCCAGGGTTTCATACATGCTAGGCAAGCACTCTACCATTAAGCCACTTCTCCAGCCCCTGAGATTATATTTCTTAGGCGTGAAAAATACACAGCTGTTTATTATATTATTATTCAGATGTCGGGATTGTTTAAAGCAATTACTCTAGACCAGACTCTCTATAAAGACCCATAGGCCACTGTTTGCTGACTTCTGCTCTGGATGTATGCATGTTCATGAGTGAGTGCATACATGAGAGTGTGTGTGTGTGTGTGTGTCTGTGTCTGTGTCTGTGTCTGTGTTTCTGTGTCTTGTGTGTGTTAATGGGTATTGGACACAAGGTCTCAAATATTCTAGACAAGCACTCTACCTCTTTCTTGAGCTGTGCTATTAGCCCTTTTGTGTTTGTATTTTGTTTCTCACTAACTTTGTCTCTGCATGACCTCTAATTCATGATCTTCCTGCCTCCAACTTCTGAGTAGGTGGGATTACAGTTGTGCACCACCATGCCTGGTGTAGATTGTGCTCTTAAATGTTGCTAGGCCCCTTTTCCATCCACCTAAGGACTATTACCAAGTTTCCATCTCTCCGTGTGCATCACAGTTCACCAGGAGACTTCCCTAGGAGAAAGACCTTCCAGGAGGAGCTGGAGGTGGGGTGTGAGGCTACTTTCTTCTCCTGAAAGTGCAGCTGTGGGCTTTTCAGCCTCCAGCAACCTGTTGCGCCTACCTAACTCCACTGTATGAGACTAGCCTTTTCCTCACTGTAGGAACAAAGCAGGTTTTCACACTTGAATTCTTCTGAAGCCCGGATTTGGGATGGAAGGGTTGTACAATGCATTTTAGGGGGTTGTAGCCATGTGGTTTGAAGTGAAGAAGCCAAGTGGCCTCTTATAGATGTCACCTTTGTTCCAGGATGACTACATGGAAGCATTGGCCCGGCTCCACCTCACAGTGACCAGGGCCTACAAGGTCAACGCTGACATCAACTTTGAGGTGTTCATTCATAAAGTGGATGGACTGTCAGATGACCACAAAATTGAAACCCAAAGAGATATTCACCAGAGGGCAAATGATGACCTTGCAGATGCTGGATTAGAAAAAATCCACCTCAGGTGAGAACGGAGATCTCAGGAATGGCAGTTTAGGAGGGAGAAGGTCAGGATGGCATCTCGAGCAGCGCAGTTGGCTGAACACAGACAGTAACTTGTGCATCATTTGTGCTGAGAGGATTTAGGAAACATGAGTTTTACACATGCTGATTCTAGTCATTGCTGAAAGTAGTGTTGGGTTCTGTTTGGATTAATAAGTGATTAAAGCTAATGTCCTTTTATATAAAATATACACAGCTGGCGCTGGTGGCTTACACCTGTAATCCTAACTACTTAGGAGGCTGAGATCTGAGGATCACAGTTCTAAGCTCTGGCAGAAAAGTCAGTGAGACTCAGCTCCAATAAACTACTCAGAAAAAACCTGGAGGTGGGACCGTGGCTCAAGTGGTAGAGCACTAACCTTGAGCAAAAGAAGCTTAAGGAAAGTGCCCAGGCCCTGAGTTCAAGCCCCAGGACCGGCAATAAATAAAATAAAATAAAATAAAAACATATAGCCAGTAATCCTAGCTACTAGAGAAGTTGAGATTTGAGGGTTTCAAGCCAGCCTGGGCAGACAGATTCAAGAGACTCCTATCTCCAGGTAACCAGCAAAAAGCATGATGTGGAGGTATGGCTAAAGTGATAAATGCCAGTGGTTCATGCCAGTCATGAACAGAAAAAGTCAAAAGTAAGCAAGAAGACCTGAGTTCAGGCCCTAGTGCCAACATTAAAAATAAAAACAAAAAACAAAATGGACCAATTGCCAGGCACTGGTGTCTCATGCCTGTAATCCTAGCTCCCCAGGAGGCTGAGATTTGAGTCTTGCAGTTTGAAGACAGCCCATGCAGGAAAGTTCATGAGACTCTTACCTCCAATTAACCACCCAGCAA